CCTCAGGATTAAGGCTGCGTGTTTGAAATTCCTATTATTATTATTTTTTTTTTTAGGCTCCACAATCATTATATCCTCCCCAGTTCAACCCATGTTACAAAATGTGATGCTTCCAGTGTCTGTGATTGGGCAGAATACTGGAAAACTAACAGTCCTTCCCAATCAGGTTAGTAACTTTAAAGCATACAAGTTTTGTCGAAGTCTTTCGACAGATTAATAGTTTTATTCGATGTCCGAACTGATTGCACTATATTTTATGTGTAATCATTTTCTATTCTAAACTGTTTTAAATTGATTTTAAACCTCTTAAATCAATTTTTAAATCATTTTCAAAGTTTTTAAATTCCTTGTTTTATTGTTGTGGTTATTTTTCTTATTTTTTTATTATTATTTTTATTTTATGTAAAGCACTTTTAATTACCATTGTGTATGAAATGTGCTATATAAATAAACTTGCCTTGCCTTAAATTAGACTTTTTTGTTTTCCACTTCCTCCTATCTTTAGCATGATTTGAAATTAATTAACATTCTTTAGTAAATTTTTTATTTTTTTTTAATTATTATTTTTATTTTATGTAAAGCACTTTTAATTACCATTGTGTATGAAATGTGCTATATAAATAAACTTGCCTTGCCTTAAATTAGACTTTTTTTTCCACTTCCTCCTATCTTTAGCATGATTTGAAATTAATTAACATTCTTTAGTAAATTTTTTATTTTTTTTTATCTAAAGGTTACATTTTTATTTTATGTAAAGCACTTTTAATTACCATTGTGTATGAAATGTGCTATATAAATAAACTTGCCTTGCCTTAAATTAGACTTTTTTGTTTTCCACTTCCTCCTATCTTTAGCATGATTTGAAATTAATTAACATTCTTTAGTAAATTTTTTATTTTTTTTTATCTAAAGGTTACAGTTTTTGTAACGCATGTTTGTGGTTTATGCGTCACTATAAAGATTTGTTTACTGATTTTCAGGCAAAACTAGCACATCTGGGTCTGGTCAAGTGCTTCCCCAGGCCTCTGAGCAACAAAAGAGTGTGAGTGCAACAAGCCCCAGCCATCGACGGATACTTTGCTTTGATGTCACACCTGAAACCACTTCAGCTGGCCAGAATTCTTTACAGACAAGCGCGCACACATCCTCTGCTGTTACTTCCTCAGCTCAGCAGGTTCAGAAAGAAATCACACAGACTGAACCGAAACAGCCTTTAGTTTCTGACACTTGCAGAAGAAGAATAGAAACCGTTAGGCTGCCAGAAATAAATCCCAAACTGGGTATTAAGGACTCTGAAAAAGTCACCATATTTCATCAACAAAAAGAAGCCCCAAAACGCAAAATTAATGAAAAGGGGCTAGATCTAATTGTTGTATCAAGCACCAAGTCTCCCAACAAAGCTGCCATTGAGCCAGAGGCTCTCATTAGACCAGAATCACTGAAAAAATCACAAGCATCACAGAAAGATGGCGGAGTTGTTTCAAAATCATCTGCTCCAGGGCCAAAGCAGAAACCAGCAGGCAACACAAAGAACGGCTCACAAGAAGAAGCCCCTGAAAAGGAGTTAAAACCAGCAGAAAGATCCTCAGAAAAGACTTCCTTACAGAACTCTCCAGGCGTCACTGCAAATAAAGAAAATCAGCTGGAGAGCTGTCAGCGTCAGACATCCACACGCCCCGCTGAGGATCTCGCACCTTCTACAGCAAAATCTACAGTACCCGTATCGAGCAGGTCCAGTAAAACTTTATGCAAGACGAGCCCTCTGACTAAACAGGCTGTTGAGATGCTTCAGGACATACAAGGCCAGGCTCCTGCGGCCACTCCACCGAAGAGACAGGTGGCCGGATGTCCAGACCTCCCGCTCCCAAGAACACCTGAACCAGGACGTGCACAGGAGGAGCTGACGGATGGATCGAGAACCCCGTCCCGACAAAGGCTCAGGAGGGAGGGTGAAAGCACGCCGAGGCATCTCCCCCCTCCCGCCACCCCTGATATCCCCTCCTGCAGTCCTGCCAGCGAGGCGGGGAGTGAGAACAGCATCAACATGGCTGCCCACACTCTCATGATCCTGTCACGAGCCGCCAGGACAGGAGGTCCTCTGAAAGACAGTTTGCGTCAAGAGGAGGCCAGTGCTGTGAAATCTGCCATTCCTAAAGGAAAGAAACGAAAGCAAATTGAACCGAGCCCTCCTGCAAAGAAAGAGCTACAGCTTTCCAGCTCCTCGAGCAGTAAAAAGAAATC